AATAGCTTTGCGAGGTCGAAACTGCAGTCCACTGGTGCCTGGATGAGAAAAACTTTTGGAAATGCAAAGCTATGTAAATATTGAATAGAAACGTCAGTCAAACTCATAGCATTTGTGGGAAAATTCTACTTCTACCAGTCCTTCATCATCTTAATGAAATTGGGTAAATAAATCTTAAATCTGCCAAACTTGCCTTGATTCTGCTCGCCAGGCAGCCATCGGCCTCTGGCACGGCGAGGCCGAGACAGCGAAATGCGTCGATCCGACGTCGACACGTCGGTGCCGTCAACCGCCGGCCGGACTCGGACTCAGACTCGGCCCCGACGAAGAGTGGTCTCCAGACGAGACGGACAAAATAGCCGAACTGATGCCGAAGGCCATGCGCTGCCGACTCGAGGCGAGGCTTATAAGCCCATCTCGACGCTTGACTGGGCCTCGAGCCAAGCGTCTCTTGGGCCGACTCGTCCGGACGACTCGAGACGGGACTCGTGGCCGGCGAATTCGACAACACCACAGAAACCGGTTGTACAGTCGCCCAATGTGCCGCAGTTGGGAGCCATTTGAAGAGACGCAGCTGGTCGCGCCATGCTGCAGAGATGGGGTGAAAGGGAGGCGTTAAGTTGGCAATCGTGGAGACGAATATAAGAAACTTCCTTCGTAAGTGACTAGGTTTTCGAGACTACCAGCAAATCAGATATAACAATTGCTTTCACCCTATTTCGTCTAAAGTGATGAAGGACTGGTAGTTAAATTGAACGAAATAACGTGAAAACATTTAATATATCTGATTTACTGGTAGTCTCGTAAACCTACTCACTAACAAAAAAGTAGTGTCGTCGATTTCAATAGCAACTATAAGTTCAACTGATTGACAATCCCAATGCAGAATGTGATAAGAAAAAGGCCTGACATTGCTTGAAAATCCCATTTGCCCCGTGACCCAAGGGCACTGGTAGCAATCGTGGCGACGATTATAAGAAACTTTTTTGGTAAGTGAGTAGGTTTTCGAGACTACCAGCAAATCA